AATCCTATTCTTATTATCTCATAGCTTAACAGGGAAGCACCTGATAGAAACCCCCAATTGTAGCAGGACTAATTTCTCCATTTGCTCAATGAATATTAAGCTCAAAATTTTATCCTAATTAACGATTTTATTATCTTGGAATACTTCAATGTCCTTTATACTTGCAACAAGAATCAATGAAACAGAGGTCTTTTACCTGACAAACGGAAAGAGCCATCGATCTAGCCCGATCCAAAGGAGAGCAGTAAACGGCATTAAACCTGACCCCTTGAGAATTCAAGAAGACAGCCAATGCCCTCGCTTGCCGCTTCCCATTAGAAGTCGAGGCGGCTCCGTCGCATCTTCCACCCACAAAATCAGGCCTCAGATTCAACTCACACTCCCCATGGCTAATCAAAAAAACCTCAATCGCCATCCGATCATCATCCAAAGAAAAACTCCGTGAGAAAACCGGCGGCGGAGGCAGCGGAGGAGGTGGAGCTAATACATTATATGGGTCCCACACTTTAATGGAAGGACCCATCCTAGGAGTACCCAATGAAGATAGCTGTGGAGACAGGGGGGACGCTGATGCGTAACAGGGCAACATTTCCGGCTCTTGTTCGAGCACTTTCTTCACCATATGGTTGTTTTCGAGTTCCCTCATGTTGGGTCCCTCTTCATTGTTGTCTTCCTCTTCTTCATCGTCATCTTCTTCCTCTTCCTCTGCCTCTTCCTCTCCGTCTTGGCTTTCTTCTTGTTCTTCTTCGACTACTTGTGCCGATTGGTTGGAGCCCATTTTCGAGGAGATTGGAATGATCTTTAAGGGAGGGAATGGAAAGATCTAATGGAAGGTTTTGTCGAGTTCAGGCAATGCATTTTATTCTGGTTTGGGCAACATGTGAGAAAACAGAGAGTGGGGAGTTCTTATGGGTCGTGTCCTGTCGAGCTTAAAGGGTTTGAGATGAGGTGCGATGAGATCTGGTTAAGGTTTGCCCGGTCTGTCCGGGTTATCAATTAAGCTAAAATTAATAAATAAATTTTTTAAAGAAAATTTTATTATGCTTTCTTTTAATAATTTTGCTACCATATAATCTTGGTATTAACCTTGTATTTTTATAAATTAATTTTCACATCTTTGATTTTAGGTTAATTACATACAATAATTATATAATCCATATGAACTTATTAAAAAAGATATGTGTTAAAATTTTTAAGTTAAAGTCAATTAACTTTAAAGTTAAACTCAATTGCTTCTAAATCCGTATTCTACATTGACCATTTGATTCAATTAGCATAGTGTCGTTTTGTGACACTTTACAAATTTATTTTATTATTTTTTTACTCTTTACAATATTTTGAAAAGTCTTGTTTCTTTAATATGTCTAAATCCGGTAAAGATATATAATTATCAATTAAATAATATATAAACTCTTGAAACAAAAAAAAAGCAGAAAAAAATTTCAATTAGCTTGATTAAAATATTTGGAGAAAGATTATAATTAATCATTAATAAAAAAATATTTAGAGAAAGATGTACTGTATTATCAAAAATAAAAGAAGTAATGGTATAAAATAAAATATGCTAACACTGGTTTACATTTTTGAGCATTGCTAATTCTCTATATGAAATTGCTCTGCATGAAGACCCAACATTAAAGTAAAATATAATATATATATATATATATATGTATTTGGATTCTCTTTTTTAAACCAAAAATTAGACAGTTATATATGTATAATTTAGATAAAGTTTTTGATGAGAATAATTAGATAAAGTTAAAGATAAGAGATTGAGTAGAAAGCATAGGGATAAGAATAGGTAATGAAAACAAAATTGAATGGAAAATAAACTAATTAATGGCTCAAGAGCCAATAGTGTCATGCCATGTGTAATTTATGATAATTTATATGTATAGTACTTTTTTTTTTTTATGGATTTGGCATTGTAGAACAAATTGCTCTCCTCTGAAAACTCTTCAAAGTCTCTTAATTAAGTTCCAAATTACATCTGATATACTCTACAGGAAAAAGGAGAGCAGAATCATGTTGACATGTTTCAGAGGCAATTTCAGGTATTGGAGACCACATAACAAGGTAAGATCCTTGTAATTATTGCTTAGCTTTGTTTGTAATTTCCTTCCTAATTGGATTTTTGCTTTAAAGACTTGTCATGGACTAATTAATTCTTAGTTCAACATGTGATGTAAGTACCATTCGTCCTGGTTGAATCTTAAGGCCCTTCTCCAGAGAGGAAAGGAAGAGCTCAATACCTAATTGATCGCATTAGAAGAATCACTTTTTACTATTAAACAATATAAACATTTTTGGTTTAAAGACTTGTCATGGACTAATTAATTCTTAGTTCAACATGTGATGTAAGTACCATCGTCCTGGTTGAATCTTAAGGCCCTTCTCCATAGAGGAAAGGAAGAGCTCAATACCTAATTGATCGCATTAGAAGAATCACTTTTTACTATTAAACAATATAAACGGATCCATTTTGGGAGGGGCAAAAACACATCAAATAATCAATTTACATGTCAAATTTTGTGAGTCAGGCTTGGCACTTGGGACAATTTATTTATTTTCAAAGAAGTGATTCTCGTGCATGATTGGTTTAGCTAGGTTACCTGTTGTTGTAATTCTATTCTTTACATTCTCCTCTCGTCTCATACTCTATATGGATGCCAGGGGAAGACGAGAAGCCTGTTTCATCTATTGCCAACTGACATCTTGTTTGATGAAATACTTGCAAGGATTGTCGTTGAAGACGAAGGTCCCAAAAATTTATGTCGCCTCTCTTGTGTGTACGTATTATTGTATATATACATATATACATAGGTACACCGAGTTAATGATATTAAAATTTTCGTTTTTAGGTGCAAGTTGTTCTATGAAGCATCAAACGAAGCAGTAATTTTGAGGAAAACTAAGATATGTTTGACTTCTTCCTTAGAAGAGCTTTCCAAGTCCTACCGAAACTTCGTCTTCAAATGTTCCAGCATGGGCAATATACGCGCACTCGCAGCTATAACAGCAGTAGTTTTCGTCGTGCTTGTGATGATACAATTTACATGTAAGTATGTTTTGGTTCTAAAACCTAATTAACAAAACTCTGGGTAATTAATTTGCAGAGCTATGGATGTTTCGTGGGCTCGGAAGGCGAGGAACAATTTCTGATGGAACGCCTGTATGCGTCGTATTTCCTGGGGTTGATCTTGTTCGAGTCTCCAAGCACAAGGAAAGAATCCTATCGCTGCCTTGCAGCGACCATTGCTTTCGAGAACTCACAGCACCTTGCTGACTTTAAGCTGAATGCAAAGAGATATCTAGCCAGTTTTGGCATCAATCGACCCTTGAACCGTCTCGAAATTTCTTGTGGTACTGAGGAATGCGGATGCCGGTGGTTTGGGAAGGGATATCCTCCTGAGTTTCTTGACAAGCAAACCTGGCTTTCTTTCAAGTGCATGCTTGGTTACCATTATGAGATGTTCAGACTTGCTGCTGCAGCTGACTTTCAGCAGGACCAATAAATCATTTCCATTAGCCATCAAAACTTCCTTCTGGATCTTAATTCCCTTTTCTTCTTTTTCCTTTTTACTTGCTTGGAGGCATTATAAGATATCATGAAAAGCATTTTCATAAGACTGGCACTGTTTAGTGGTTCGTCTGTAATTAATTTTGTAAGTTTAATTCGATCATAATATTATAAGTAATAAAGTATTTAATTTGTAAGTTCATAACCCATAAAATATTTCTTCTTTATTAGTATTATTTTTCCTTTTATCAAACTATTTTATAGTTTATTGGCAGTTAAACTTTGTATTTCATATTAGTCTTGTCAATGTGGTTCGCATTGTTGCTTAGACTCGAGGAACCCAAAATTAATTTCAATATTTCTTTATTGTTTCTATTAGTCTCTCGATTCCAATAAATTTGTCACGTTTTTATTTTTTGTTGGTCAAAATTTATAAACTTTGACCTTTTATTATTTTTATTTTTATCATTGATAAAAATATGAAAAAATATTTTTATTAAAAAAATTTTAATAAATTAATGTGATTAAGATGATAGAGATGGAAGTTAGAAAATTTTGATAAAAAATATATCCTCAATTATTAATTATCACTATCTTTATCACTTTTATTATTTTATTTTTAATAATTTTGTAGTAGACTTAAGATTTAGTTGAATTAGTTCCAAGCAGAATAACGCTTGGATATCGGTTTTACCAAAGGCCAGGTGCCAATGCAGCTCCATTTTACGAATCAAAGCACCAAACTTCAAGTATTTATTATTTGAAGGAAGTTATCTGTATAATCTTCACTGATTATATATTTACTTAAGATAATTAAACTGGATTTATGCAAATAATTAACATGAGATAGGATAAGAATTTGAGAAAGTAATTAGATGGAGCTTATAAGATTATTATCCTTTTTTTTTTTGTTATTTGTTTATCAATAAATATCCTTTCCTTAATCCCTTTGCAATTGTTCATCCAAGCTTTGCTACTCTTAATTATCCCCCACGATTCTCTCTTAGTGTCATTCTTCAAAACCCAGTTTCAAGGAACAGATCATTTCAGAAGGTTTTATAAAGAAGATCTCGCATGTATGTTCCAATAAGCCCTGTTGACTTATGATGATTTTTTTTTATTTTTCTTTTTCATTTAAGAATTTAAAGTCAAGTATTCAAGAATGGGTCAACGGAGAAAACAGGTTGACTTGAGTTCCTGAGCTGCAAAAAATCATTCTCTCTGTCCCAACCCTCCACTTCCTCTCCCCTGTCCCGACCTTCCCTTGCTCTCCCCTGTGAGGCTGTGACAATCCCCACAACCCGCCATGATTCCAGCTAAACCTATACAACCTCTCTTCTCTCCATTCCCGTCTTTAAACCTCCTCTGCCAGCAAACGCCTCTCTTCCATTTTCATCGCCAATGATAAGACTTCCATTTGCAGCAGTTGAAGCTTTGCTTATCGACTCAAAAGAAAATTGTTAGACTAACCTTGCTGACCCTAATGTTGAAACTGACATCGTCTTCGTCGTGTTTTAGTGTGTGAATATTGTTGCCATATCGGGAGGTTGTAGGTCGTCTGTTCCTGTTTTCATCATCTTCATCGATTTGGTGAGTAGGGTGAATAGGACCTATTTTTTCCAGCTAAGTTATTCTGCAGTGTGGGAATTCTTATAGCTGTAATTATGGGGATTAAAGGTGATTTGCTTCCAGTGTTGTGGACATGTGACCCTGGCTGGTGTGAGCTTCACATTTTGGCTATGGATTTTAGTCTGTAGCAGATCTTTATCCTTAATATATTCACAATTTAATTGAGAAAAAGAAAAAAATAGTATATGACTTTGAAATTATTATGGTAGAAATTACTTAAAATAATATTAAATTTTAAATCAGAAAATATTTTCAGTAATGTCTTTCAAACAACAGAAAATATTTTCTACAATGTTATACAAACAAGAGAAAATACTTTCATGGAAAATTTTTGTTTTCCGGAAGCCAATTTCGGCGAAACAAACGAAAACAATAGAAATATTAACAAAAAAGAAAACCTTAATTGTTTGATGTTTCAATCCTTCCCTGTATCATACCTTCACAAAGATCTTGACAGTAGCTATAAAATACTATATATGATTTTGACTGAGTTTGGAGCACATGGACAGCTGCAACAATGGGAGGGAAGTGTTTCAAAGCAGTGAAAGGAGGAACTCGAGAAAGTCCTAAGCAAGGCAGGTGCAATCTTTATATGTTTTCCATGTGAATTTGGTGTAGACTGCATCATTCCTTCATGGTGACGCGAATAATTCTGATATATTTATCTTTTGCAGAATTGAAAATACCTCTTCGTGATATTCAACTGGCCACTCAAAACTTCTCCCAGGACTACATTGGTACAGGAATGACTTCCAGTGTTTATAAATGCCTTCTTCATGATAGGGTAAAAAAAATTTTCTGCTCGCCCCCATGTTTGTCACTATGTCTGGCTTGGGACCATGCATTAATCATATCCATATATAGGACAAGATACATAATTCGTTAACAAATGGCGATGGGAAAGTGCAGGTTGTTGCAGTGAAACGAATGAATATTATGGTGGGGTACTCTTATCTGAAGGGTGAAAAGCGCTATATTCGATTTGACTTCGTGTTCGTGGTTGATGCAAAGGCATTACATGATTTCCAACATCCAAAGATCGTCAAGTTTGTTGGATTCTGCCAGGAAGGGAATGAGAGGCTTGTTTGTTTCTGAGTACATCAACGGAAAAAATCTGCACCAGTGCTTACAAGGTAATTAAGGTTCCAGACTTCCGAATTTTCTTGGAGTCGTCCTATTTTCCTATTTATGTTTCACAGAATGATTGTTTAAACTCTTCTTAGGTAATCCAAATGCAGTTCCTTATATTAGTTGGAAGCAAAGATTTCAAATCGCAGTTGATATAGCAGAAGGTATTCAGTACCTTCATCAACAAGGAGTAATCCACAGGCGCTTAAGGTCTACGAATGTGCTCCTTGATCAGAATTTAACTGCTAGAATAGCAGATTATGGTTTCAGAGAAATCAGAGAAACATACACCCAATCTCGTATTTGCGACAGAGGACCCATTTCAGGTGCTCTAGAATACCTCTGCCCTCAGTACATGACACTGGGAATTGCCAGCAAAAACTCTGATGTCTATGCCTATGGCATTGTTTTACTTGAGTTGTTGAGTGGAAAGAACGCGCTTGGGTTGTTTTATTGGGTAAGTGCTACACTTTTTAATGGTTTCTGCAATTGATTACTGTTATTTGATTCTGTAATCTGATAATGTAAAACTCTTGTGATTTTCAGGTTTCTGACAGAGTGAAAGAGGGGAGATATTTGGATATCTGTGACCCTCGAATTATTTCAGAGATTGATGATCAAATATTCAAAGTAGCTGTTGATATTGCTATGCAATGCACTGCTGCTAATTTGAGTGATAGGCCAGAAATCTCAGATGTGGTTGTTGCTTTGGGTGCTTACCGTAATGTAGTTGTCTGAATTGGTTGAACTGATGGAGAGTTAGATGATCAAACATTCAGAAATTTCAATTGCCTTCAAATTTTGTTCTTTCTTTAGAAAATGTCAATTGTTCTTGAGAAGGAAGGTGGTTGTTACAATCCACGATAGAGATCTTCTTGTTTTCCTTTATGGAATTATTTCAGAGGGCTACTAAGACTTTTTGATACTCGAACAATAGTTAAATTCTCGATTTGATACCAAAAGTTTTAAAAAATTCACAATTAAATCCTCAAAGTAAAGCAGTGTGTTTAAGATTTTCAAGGAGCATCAGGCCTAGGGAGGATGTAATGGAGTAGTGAAGGAATTTGCTGCTCCCAGTTACAGGAGTTGGACCGAGAGAAACAGTCGATCAGCAGCAAGCCATGGCAAACTGTTTTAAAAATAACTGAGTGAAGATCTTACAACTAGATTTATTGGCAATTTTAGTTACTGTTTAAGTGTTAACTTTGGACATTAAACAAATTTCTTAAGTTCATTTATTAAGTAGATTACTAGTCATGCTCAAGATACTATAAGATTTTGAACTTGTTCTGTTGTAGCCTGCAGTTGCTATGAAAGATTTTAAGTTCCATTTCCTAGATCCAACTTAGGCTGCAATCTGTCAAATAAATGCTTCCACTTTCATGTTAAATAGCAATGTCCATAAATATCATAAACACATCATAATGATAGACAAATTAAGCCCATGAACAAAATGAAATTACTGACACATTGCTACACTGCCCTCAGAGTCGATATCCACCATGACTGAGCCACCCTCTTTATCATATCCGTTCAAGATCCTGTCAGCCAAGGTATCCTCCAAAAGCCTCACGATAGCCCTCCTCAATGGCCTTGCTCCATAGCTTGGGTTTTGTCCTTCTATCACCAGCCTCTCCTTGAATCTCTCTGTCACTTGGATTTCGATTTTCTTTAATTTCATCACCCTATCACTAACTTCCTTAAGCATCACATCAACTATTTCCTTCAGCTGTCGGTTGTTTAGCATATGAAACAATATAACTTCATCTATCCTATTCAAGAACTCAGCCCGGAAAATTTTCTTCAGTTCTTCAGCCACTTTCTGCTTGATTTGCTCCGATTGATTGTTTACTTCTCCAATCACAGTACCACCAACATTGGCTGTCATTATTATGATGGTATTTTTGAAGGCAATTAAATGCCCCTTATTATCTGTCAGCCTACCATCATCCAGGATTTGCAGCATGGTGTCAAAGACGTTCCTATAGAATCACAGTATGAGGCCTGCGACGAACAGCTTCAGTCAGCTGACCACCATCATCATAGCCAACGTATCCAGGTGGAGAACCGAAAAACTTTGAAACCGTATGCATCTCCATGTATTCACTCATATCCACCCTGATCATTGCTTCTTTGAAGCGATAATATTCATCTGCCAAAGCTTTAGCCATTTCTGTTTTTCCCACCCCTGTAGGACCGGTGAACAAGAAGGTTGCTATGGGGAGTGAAGGGTCTCTCACACCAATTCTAGCACGGCGTATGGCACGACTGATTCCTTCAACAGCTTCATGCTGTCCTATAATTCGCTTTTGCAAAGTACTCTCCATATTCAATAGCTTAAGAATCTCTTCGGAAGAAAGTTTCTCGACAGGAATTCCTGTCCACGAAGCAACAATTTCTTGTATACTATATTCTGTCAAAATCTGAGATCTTTGTGGTTTATGCGCTTGACAAAGCTGAACTCTAGCTCCAGCCTCATCAATAAGGTCTATTGCCTTATCAGGCAGAAATCTTTCACTGAAATATTTAGAAGCAGAGAAGCATCAGAGAAGATGTAATTAAACTGAATCATAAACATGAATTGTGGTATTCTAACCTGATATATTGATGGGAAAACTGTGCCGTAGCAATCAAAGCATTTTCTTCGTAGATGACATTGTGGTAAGCTTCATGTTTTTTTGCTTAAACCTTTTAATATATGTATTGTTTCAGTTACAGATGGTTCAGGCACTTCCACTGGCTGGAATCGCCTTTTCAGAGCTGCATCTTTCTCTATGTATTTTCTGTATTCATCTAGGGTTGTGGCACCAATACACTACACCAGCAAAAATACCTAAGTTAAAAGAGGGACTAAAATCTAAAACTTTGTAGTATGTATAAAAACTTAAACAGATAAACTACTTTTAGCTCCCCTCTCGCAAGAGCTGGCTTCAAGATGTTTGCAGCGTCAAGGCCTTGGCCTCCAGCACCAGCTCCGATTAGTGTATGGACTTCATCAATAAAGAGAATGATGGCACCTTCACTTTGTTTTACTTCATCAATAAGCATTGTTAATCTTTCCTCAAATACCCCACGATTAGATGCTCCAGCAATAAGACGCCCCATATCAATAGAAAATATCTGGAGAAGTATTGTCACCTCATTGTTTCAGCCTTCCTACTAGAGGATCCAACTTATCCTGAAAAATTAGAACCCAGCCATTGTCACCTCATTTGCCCTTAACTAGAAATTGACAGTTTTAAATAACGGAACACCAACTTATAAATGTAAACGAACAGTTTCTATTTAACAATTTAGAACCAACAGGAGAAGTATTGGTTATACCTCCTGTGCCATTTTAGTCAAATCAGTTGCGTATTTGTTCAGGATTTCCAACTTAACATATTGTTACTGCTCAAGCTTCTCCATATCAACTCCAACTGTTCTCTCTTCTTCTATATGTATCTATATGCTAGAAAAGAAAACATCAACTTGTGGAATTTGGGTGGGAACCGTAGTCATCTTGGCTGCACTTTTATACCACAACCTGGAGCCCATGTTGTAGGATGTTACTAAATTCAACGCAGCATTGGCTGCCTCATCACTTCCCAAGATTGTTGCTTGCTGTTCTCTCTGGAATTTTCCACCAGCATTGGCTGCCTCGTCACTTCCCAAGATTGTTGCCTGCAGTTCCCTTTGCAATTTTTCCACTTTTCGTTCAAATTTGGGTGCTGCTTCCAAAGAGTTCATGATTATTAGTAACTCATGTGTTGTATATTAATTGCAAACAAGCTGGAGATGAGTCTTCTCCTCCCTGTTTTTGTCCCCTAGGTTTCCTACAAGTGTTTAATCATTAATGTTACATTAGTGCCAATATACCCTTCACAGCAATCAAGTAAGTTGACCATCAACATTCAACACTTACCTTGTAATGCACTGGCGCTGCTACAATGTTTGGACTTTGGGACAGATTTCAGCTTCTTTGGATCTCCCTGGACAGAGAAGAAAGCCCAAGGGTTTATTAAAAATGGTTGATGGCTCCAAATGCATGTCTACGAAGGGCATAATAACACTAGCCTGGTTTGTTTAAAGTTCATCATATAGGGCCAGATGATAAAAGACAATCTCCCAATCCTGATCCATCCAAGACATTTCGTGCTCTAAAGGGAAAGATCGTCTGTTAAGGATTATAAATAATAATTTGTAATATTAAATTTAATATTTTGTATATTATTTTTGTTTATTACTATTAATAATAAATATAAAAATTGATTTTAAATTTATTTTTGAATCAATATTTTAACATGTTTGAGTATTTTAACATATAATTTCTAAGATATTCTCAAATACAAATTCATATAATAATTTTAAACCTTAATTTGACACTTAGAAGATTCAAAGAACCTATCAATTTATAGAGTTTGGGATAAAGTACTTAAAAATTAGCCTGTACCTTATCTATTGTCATTTTGGATAAAAAGGTCAAACGAAAAAATCAAAGTGGAATAGTAGAAAGAAAGTTATGTTGGTGTTGCATAGCATGAATCTAGTTCCTGGAGAATAGATGAAGTCCGGGGGTTGGTATTCCATTTATGAGCAACCAAGTGTCAGACTTGAACACTGTAGGTTAGCAGCCATTGATTGGATATGTCCTAGTAAGTACTGCGCATCTGCACATGGATCCATGTGAGAAACCATACATAAAACATTAAGCAAGAAAAATTAAAAGAAGTCATGATAATATACTATAGTCCATACCACAAACTTCTGTCTTCTTTCTTTCAGGTTTTCAAGAGTAAGAAAATTAAATATTTTTCTTATCTATTCTCATAATGATGATATTAATGAATATTTAAAATGTATAATACATAAAATATTTTAAAATTTTTGGAAGCTAAATATTTTCCATATCTATTATGATATGAATTAATGTTATTTTTTAAAAAAAAAATTGATATGAATTAATGTTTTAAATATATAATATATAAACTATTTTTAAAATTTTGGAGGGGCCTGCCCCCGTTATGACAACACAACCCTCTCTGCCCCTGAATTAGGCCCATCTCAATATCACTTGTGACTGTGAGAGTTTCTCCAAGCCTGGCCGGCACAATCAATTCAAGCAGAGAAACAATGGTTTCAAGCTTCATTTCCAGGCTGAAAAAGAGAAGAAAGAGAAGAGTTTGGCTGTTATTATTGGACATCATTATCAACAGGATAGGGAATTCCTTTTAATGTATGGTATAAACACATGCTAATTATTCGAATTACTCACGTATGGCACAAGACAATCATGAGACAATTGAATTCATTATAGTGTCATGCATGCACAACTTTAGCTTGGTCACTAATCCAAAGCTTCACCTCGCATGAAATCATAGTATTTTGTGGGTAAATTACGTGCTCATACCGAGGATAATACTGTTAATTTTATTTAATAAAATTATAAAAATATTTTTAAATCGAAAGTATTTTGATAATTTTTTTTAAATATTATATTAAGATATAAATAAAGTTTTCCGTGTTTAAAATAGGAACTGCCCACGCTGCATGCACATTTAGAAAAGGACCAAGGACCACTGCAGAATAAAACATTAGTAGTAGAATGGGTGAAGTCGTTTGTTAATAACAAACACGTTGAGGTTAATTATTAATTAGCAAATGTAATTAAGAGACAAGAGACAGTACAGGTTGTAAGATGATAAAGTTGTCTGACGGTTGTCTCCACAATCTTAATAAGATGACAACCCTCTTATTCCTTTAATGACCCAATAATTTTTCCCCTGCATCACTGCAACTTGTGCTAATACTATAATTCTCTTTCCATGATTTCTTCTGCAAATTTCTCTTCTTTTCCCCTTTTTTTTAAGTCTCTGGGTAATAGCCGTTGACACCACCAACAGGCTTCAGCACTTTGGGATTTGAGACCCACCACCACTGCAAATTAATTAAGCCTTAAACCCTCCCTTGATGTTACTTTTACATTTTTTTTATTTGATGTAAGAGATGTAAACTTTTATTTATTTAAATAGAAAATTATACATCAATTAATAAATTAAATATTTAATATCATTTTTACATTTAATCTAAAGATCATTAAAGTAGATATGTGGGAGAAGCAAATTTGTCATGAATTTTAATTTACTCTTGGTTTACTTTGATCAAGCAACAAGCATGCGGATGGTGCCCCGTGCAACATAATGATATTGTGGATTGTTTATCTATCAATTGTTATGAGTAGGACACTCGATAATTTGAAAGTATTCAAATCCAAATAAAATTTAACTATTTGTGCTCTATTCGAGTCTAATAAAAAATCAACACTTGATATCTAAAATTAATTGTTAATACTTAAAAAAATCCAAATTCAAATCATATGTAAAACCAACAATGAATTTTAGCAAGTAATTAGTTAAAAAAATAGTTTTATAATATTAAAAATTATTATTCATAATCAAATTCAAATAATAAGTATCTTATATTCACTGCTCAAACACATGACAGGTAACAATTTTATTACTCAAATCCTACAGTATTCAAATAGTGTAGAGTATTTGATTATAACATACTTTTTTTAAAAAAAAAAGACTTTTATAAAATACTCATTGTGACCCCTATACTTAACATCCTATATTACAGATGGCAATGAATTTTATTAATCTTAATTCAAATATTACAATGTACATATCATCTTTTTCCATATGTAACTACTCCTTATTTTTCTTCCTTTTTCCTTATTCTATGAGAAATTAAGGATAAAAAATTAGGTGTTTAATTTCTTGAATATTTGGGAATTTAGACCTGCATATATAGCTAGAGCTGAGCACATAAAAAAGCCCTCTAGAATGATAAATGAAATATTGAAATTCAAAGCGAAATAATAATAGTAGTATCCGTTACTAGGTATACATATTACTGTGTGCCAATATAATTAAAGAGTTGACTTGAATTTTCTTGCTACTATATAGTAACCATTATTAGATCATATGATTGTGAAAAAGAATATTTAAAGTGAATTAAAAAAGAAATAAAATAATTTTCAACAAAATTTTTCGTCAAAAACTCGTTGGAATATTTCCAGAGAATTATTTTTATTGAAAAATGTTGTGTGTTTTGCCTGATAGAACCTAATGAAAGAAAGGATCTGATCATCAGCAGAATGAAAACCTATGTATGAAATGCAATTCCCAATTTCCCCTTTCGATTTTGCATTTGTTTTTCCTAGAAAATAAACTGTGCTAGTAATAGAATATGCAAAAGGGGAAGAAGTTGCTATAAGTCAAATAGACTGTAGGCTAGTCTTTTGAAAAGGTTAAGCTTTTCCTTCAAAGTTTAATCATCTTGTTTGAAAGGGAAACAAAGGTATATAATTTGAAATGAATGGTCGGTCGGTCCAGCAGTCTTAGCGTGAGAATCCAAATCTTTCTGATCATATTCTCTTCCACACAAATATATATATATATATATATATAGTATTATTTAGATCAATTTCACTTCTACTGTGCTACAGCTGGCTTGGTTCTTCCTTGTGGCAAAGAAAAAAAAATTAATGTTTATAATTATAAAATACTGTTATCTCAATTGGAATGATCAATTTGTTGCTAACTCAAGTTGTGGAATCTTGTTGGATATTTTATGACACTGCTGATGCTTCCATTAGTTTTCTTATATTTTCCTTCATTAGGACATTTGAAATGAGGGCAACCCAATGCTTAATTTTCAAGCTTGGAGGGAGAATTTGAATCCTGTTTTTTAAGCTGCTTAATTTTTAAATTTAAATAATAAAAAAGTAAGTCATTTATTGCTGCTATTTTTAATTTTAACAAAAATTAATAATTGTCAATTTTAGAATTAATTGATATTTTCTTATTAGCATAACTTGATGACATGATAGTATGACTCATTTCATATTAATTATTATGGGGTTATGTCTATCATCACGCAACTATATCAATTATCTTATCATATCATATGTTAAGTAGATGAAAGATATCAATTAATATTAAATTTGACAATAATTATTTTTTTCTAAAAATTAAGAATTTACTCTTTATTTAAATATAATAAAATAATAAAAATTTAATTATGTTAATGAATATAATTTAAGGGTTTTTAGGGTACTTAAACCCCTTGTTTTTTAGTGTTTTGCTAGGAAAAGGTTCTTCACTTTTGACTTTTGAGCTCTATTTGATAGAAACATAGAAGAAAATTCACAGAGCTAAAGACATTTCCTTTCTTCTTCTTGTTAATTCCTCAAAAATTAAGACAAAAAGTAATTTCATTAGTACTAAGTACTAATAGTTGTAAGATTGAAAGTCAAGCACAAGATCTTTTTTCCTTTTCATGTGTGTTTTTTCCTTTTCGGTAAGCAAAGTATCACCATTTTTTTTCTTCTTCTTTTCTGAAAAGAAAAGGGTTCATTGCCCCCA